CCCCTCCCCTCCTCGGAAATGGGGCAGGAATGTGCAACTGCGAATTATATTGATTAAAGCTTGTAAACACAGAACTGCGCTGACTTTGATTTCGATCACGGTACGAATCTTTATTGACAATATTCAACGACGATGGCTACGAAGTGTCTTTGAGACATGATGGTATAGTCAGATGATGAACGATAGGTGCATACGACAATCGTTTCTGAAAGACTGCCCGAGTGACTCTGAGGTCAACACCTCACTCATTTTGATCAAATGGACTGACTGAGAATGAAAATTAATTCAAAACATTTCTCACAGTAACATTCATACTTCAGGCTGACAACACAACTGAAGACAGTACAAACAGAATATATAGCCTGAAAACTCAAGACTGTCAGTAATGAAGATTGTGACCTTTCTAGTAGCATCTGACGTTGCTTAGTATGAGCGTGAGACGCCAAATAGTCAGGTATCGTAACTCAGGGTTATTCTGCTGCATATGACAATTGCAACAGCAAAGCAACCGCTCTGACTGTTTTTCCGATGAAAATCGATATCGCTTTCTCTATAGAATCACCATATAAATAATGGATTTCGGTGTCGGTACCGGTTATTTCAGGATCGGAAAACGGAAACGAATTTCTTGTAACTTAATCATGTAAATCGAGATCTTATAGTTTACTGTCACGTCGTTTTAGAATCGATCTAAACTTAGCAAGCTAATTACAGCTGACTATTCGGTTCTATGTATGTCACTCGTAATTGCCTATGTCTGAAACTTCGTTCGAAGATCGGCTCGGTATCACACTTGACTGAATATAACCCAGTAGGTTGAAAAACGAAAGTCGGTAATTTTTGAAGCCATGCCACTGCATCGAGATTTGTGTGAGATGCAACCTCTGTTTGTTTCTTTGCCTCAACCAACGGTCTACGCTAAAAACATTTTTCGAGTCTAATTGCTGGGAAGGTGATTTGTTTCCCTGCCACCCTCCATTGTAAAATTACTTTTTCTTCAGTCACCTGCTTTAACGATAACAGAAGTTTAAAACAGCCCGACCTCTCTATCGACCCAAATACAGAGTTTGTCCACCGTTTCACATAAACATGTTATCGTGAGTTTTGCGCTGTCGTAACCACGTTGCTTGTTGACGCTGTGGATGCGAAGCGGTTTCGTCAAACCAACGTCTGGTGAATAATTTTGCAACCTACCAGAAAGCAGCGCATCTCTGTTGGTGATCGGTGACGAAAGGAAGCTCTGGACAATATGTTAGCAGCCGTGTTGTGCGTTTTGATCGCAATATTCTCCATACTCCTCTGGTAAACGCAGATGATACATATTTTTTGCATTAATAAACGTTCGTCGGCTAGGCACCTGAATGAAAGGAGCAAATTTTTTCGAAAACTGAATATTGCCGGTCCTCCGCCAACACTGCTGTTCGGGAACTATTTGCAAATGAAACAGAAATCGGTGACCAACGAACGCGTTTAACATTTAGCCTCGTTCAACGCTTGCTTTCTAGTGCAAATTTGAAGCCATCCAGGAATGGACGCAGCAGTACGGAAAAGTGTTCGGTTACATGGAAGGGGGCAAACCCGTGCTGGTGATCAGCGACGTGGATATGGTCGAGGAGGTGCTGGTCAAGAACTTCAGCAACTTTTACAGCCGAAGAGTACGGATAGCGCGTGCATGACCAATCTGCGGTACTCTTTGATTTCAGACGCGTCCGATTCGACTGGGATGCCTGGACAGCGAAAAGGTGAACGTATTCAGCGCCAACGGCTATCGCTGGAAACGCCTCCGAATGCTCAGCACACCGGCATTCAGTCCGTCGAAACTCAGACAGGTAGGAATCTTTGAGTCAAGGGCTGTTTCATGGGCGAGTAATACATCGCTGGAAGACAATTCAGCTTTCGATTAATGGTCAGCTACAAGAATGGTTAAAATGCGTTTGCTTAAGATAGACCCGTCATTTTGCCTAGAGAGCAGGAGTCGGTCGTCATTATGGCATCTATAATCTATCGTTTCCCTCATGATGGCCGGAAGCAGTACGGTCGAAGTTTTCGATTTATGTTAAACAATAATTGTGGCCTTGTGCGTCGTTTTGCCAATTATGAAATGAGAAGATGTATACGGTTTAGATCATCGACGGCACGGTATTAGAAAAATGATTTTAAAAAGTAATTTATCTTTGTGCTATACTTTTGGTCAAACTAATCATCCAACAGACACCATTTATCGACCATATACCCAAAGTCATCGAGCTCTCTATCGTCCTGTATGAACGACGACTGCATTGACTGGGCACCTGCTGAGACGTCCACCAAACTGCATCCAGTCAGTTACATTGAGCTTCACCCGATTCCTGGACTGGAAAGCTTAAGACTTGGCTGGGCACTTCCTCTCTGGACCAGTGGAGCATGGACGCCGACGGCGAAAGAAAAACTGACTGAATCTGGTGGTGGACATTGCGCGTGATCGACAGAGGTGGAAAACAGCAAATCAGAGACTGTAACAGCTGTCGCAAGAACACCGATATTTTCAGTCAACCGGTATATTTCACACGAAGGCAAGCCGATCTTGCAGGTCAGTGTTCTACAAAGTTAACCTTGTAAACAAACGAGCGCCATTAGTAACATCGGTCTGACTTTCAGCTCAGTGACCATGCTGAACATTACTGTGAAAATATAAGCAAACCAGCGGTCAGCCGGAAACTAGATCGGGGTTACTTTTCAATGAGCCGTCACTTTCGACGATTGACGTCGATGAGCCAATTTGCACTTCATATTCATAACGGAGCTATTGAATGAATAAATTTAGAACAAGAGCTTACATGAGCTTAATCTTTATAAGGCCAGTCACATTCAAAACGATAGAGAAACATAGCGGCGCTTAAAGTATAAATGGATGTTCATTCATATTCATGTTATAATTCACATATCAGAAATATTATGTTTAGGCTTCTAACCGCCCTTTCTTATTCAGAATTGATAAATGTATAAAACTGAAAAAATTTATTTCAGATATGACTAATCAGGAAACAAGAAAATAATTGTATGTACAGCCATTCCGATGTTTTTATTGAACTGGCTTCGGCTATGATTAAGGAATCAGGATGTGGGTGTAAAGGTTAACGCATGTTGCGTAATGGCTTCTTAGCTAATGATCAGCTACGATTCAGTAGACTTTCATATGATAATTCCCAATAAGCGCAACAATTGCCAATTGTGAGATGTCGTCCTCTGCTCAGTGTGCCGTTGACGTCAGAGTGCAAACCTAAAAATATTAATTCAAAGAACGCGGAGGACTTCATTTTCCTCTAAATTCCTAGATATCATCCGTTAAACATCCAAACTGATCTTCCGTAGTCGTTGTGGAACGTTAAGGGTATGGTGAAAATATTTTCCCAATTTTTTGTGAAGATGAGGGTAGACGTTTAGAAACGGTCTACCCCCTCCCAATCATTTCCTCTGAACTTGTACCTGGTGTATCCTTCCGGTAAAGAGCTTTCCTGGAAAAATTTATGATCCGTAGGCTACAGTTCATATCTCATGCGGATTCTGTCAACTATTTGGTGAATTGTGCAAATTGCAGCCGCTACGGCATATGTATTGGACAGCGCAGTCCTGCGCCTCAAAACTCTGATCCGACTACAGAAGAACATCATTATATCACCATTGTTAGCAGGTCAAGGATTCGTTGCCATTTTTTGGCAAATTACCAAAAAGCAGTATGAAATGACGAAGAAGAAGATGATGAAATGAATTTATATGTTAATGTCAAGTTGGAACTCGAAAAATCAACCTCTAAGGTTGAAACTTAAATGACTTTCGTTGGCGTCGTTCACACGGAACCATTGATTACCATGGTATCGTTAATCGGCCTTTTCAGTTCTTTGCAGGACTTCTCCGCCAAAGAAGAAATTGCACTTACCTGTACTTCGTTTAACAAGCGATCTCTCATTTTTTACATAAACCGCTTTTGTGTACAAAAAGGTCATTATGCGTCCATTGATATCTTTAGTCATTCTACAGCTGAGCAAAATGTGAACTGATCGAGATTTTCTTTCGGCATTTCCGAAATATTACACTAATCTCTACATGGTTCTCTACATGATGGAATTTACATGTTTGATAATATATAATTTGAGCATCGACATTCATTGAAATATCACTGTAGGGTCGTGTTTTTCACGTGATTAGTACATGTTTTAACTGACTGAATGCCTTGATGCAAAATAGGGCGTTCGGCTGGGTGATGCAAAATAACTGAAATTGTTCATAACCGACCTCGATGAGGTTTTCAAGACCCTCCGTTTGGAAGATCAAGAGGTAAAAATAAATGGGTACTACCTAAGCCATTTGGGTTTGCGGACGACGTTCTGATTCTCCTAAGGTCATCAGAAGAACTCCAAGAGCTCAACAACACAAGCTTGAAAGCAGGACTGAAAATGAGCCAGAAGAATACTCTAGTCATGCCTAAAAGTTTTTACGTTGGTCTTAGGCTTGGAGAGGTACAAAGCTGTGTCTATCTACAAGAGCCCATGTCTTAAACGAGAACGAGAACCATCATTGTGAAATCAACAGAAAAAGTAGCATGTAACATTTCGGGCATTCAAAATGTTCAAAACCGGGAAA